TATAAATTATTAGCATTATTTATAAATGTACAGATATGGGACTAAAATTTCGACGAGTACCAAGGTTTCGACTTATATATTAAATACTATTTAGATAATATTGAACGAGTTTCTATATTTATTTTTAAAAAATAGTCCAAATATAACTTTTTTAATTTAGTTTTAATAATGGTATAAATATTATTATTTATTAGTCGAAACCATGGTCCTGGTCGAAACCTTATACCATGTCTGTATGTATTAAATATTTATAATATAACACTTATAGATTATTATGAAAAAAATAATATAAGTGCTAAATATTACTTTTATTATATAAGCAATTGACATAATTTAGTTTAGGTTTATTGATATGTTACTGAATGTTAAAACTTAAGTTAAATTAAATTAAATTGCCAACTTTAAAAAGTTTGACTCAGTTGTTCAAAAATTGGCGGATAAATATTAAGTTCAAAGATTTGATCTTTGAACTTAAGATAATCCTTCTCACAACCAGGCGTTTTCCAAAATTCACACAGTGAATGCCGAATCCCAAAAATGCTTCAGTCTTATTTTATAGAATGTTTTTTCTTTTAAAAATACGTTTTTGGGAAAAAATTAACACCAGCCCCCTGTTTTTTAGAACAAAAACGAGGCAAAAAATTAATACGCCTGGTTGTGATCCTTCTTGAAAGAAATTTAAATGTTGTTGTAAATGACATAATGACATTTCGATATAATAATTTATTTAAACATTTTGTTTGAGTGTGATTAAAAACCAATATTTAACAAAATAAAGAGTTTAAACTAAGAGATGCAATCAATGATCATAACTTGTTTTGAAACAGTACTACTAAACCAACCATATTTAATTGAATTTTTAATTTTTTTTGTTTGGTGTGCTTTCTCTACTCATGTTGTTAAATAATAATATTAGTATTTTTGGGTTGTTACTTTCCCACGTTTTATTTCTGAATAAAAGTAAAGATTCCATAATTGCAGTAAAATGTTGTTGAAAAAGATTTTTAGATTTTAAAAGATGTATTTAATGTTTGAATAACAAGTGTTTTCTACTTGAAAATTATTCAATCAAACTAACAGACCAATCAATTGGTATCGTTAATAATAGCTAACTGAATGGTTAATCAAATTAACATTTTAAAATATAAATTTCAGGGTTTCTTGTAAAATATTATCATGAACGATGCATGTGTTACATGCACAAACTTGTATTCTGAATGCCAATATTTTTTGATTGATTAATGTATAAAATTGAATTATTGTAATTATGTCACAACGACAGTATAGTTTTTTCTAACATTTTTTAGTTTTAACAATTATAATGAAGTTTACTGAATTACAAAGAGTATAAAATTGTAAAATTACAATTATTTACAAGCAGGGTTCATTATTAATTTAAACATAAACTATTCTCATCGATATAACAAAATTATAAACAAAAGTACTTTTAATTATAAAAATATATTAAACTTATAACCACGTAGTTACATGTCTGGATTAAGATTTTAAACTTCAATGGTCTACAATATTTTACAGAATACTTTTTTCTATTTTTTAAACTATTAAAATAAAGTAAAATATCAAATATTTATTTTTTATTGTTTTCATATTTGGCAATTCATTTTGAATTTATTATTTTAGAACACGATATTACTTTTTGGTATTGTCAATTAATCAAAAAAACATAACTTATAATAAAATAATTAAAAATTATAATTATATATTTAATTGGGTTATTAAGTATTATGTTAACCTTTTTAGAAGTAAAATCAAAATATAATTTTGGGGTATGTTTGGGTATTTTTACTTGTATTTTAAAATATTAACCGGTTATAATAATTTATAAATTA